TATATATATATATACTTTTTTGTAGATGATTTACCCGATGCACGATCAGTTTATAGAGATCATGAACATCTCTGGAAATTTTATGTGGATTTAGATCGATTTAAAAAGGGACTTTTACACCATGATTATGATTATGTTATTAATATTTTAAAAAATTACACAGAAAAACAAGATGAAAGTCCGTTATTTGTTCACTCTTGTTGTAATATACTTCGTACAGAGGTAAAACGTTCAGAATATCACTTAAGAAACATCATACGTCGCACAGGTAATAAATATTTTAATAACAAATAAAATACTTAAAAGGTATTAGATGGAAAATATAGGTTGTATCATAATATATACCTATATGTATATATACCTCTATTATAATATATACATATGTACAATCGTGCTTTATTGACATATTTTTCCCTTTATTATTCATATTTGATATTGATGATCAAGTAGTCACAATATGAAAACGATTTCTATATCTACGGATTGTTATTGCTATGTATATACAGCAAAATACAACTTATGTATGAATTATACGTAATATATATATTGCACGTAATATATATCGTAGATTTTAAGTATCAAGAGTATATATATTATATATGACGAAAGATATAATTTTATATCATAACAATTAAAACTTTCTACATATTTTTTTATTTAATGATATTCTAAAGTATTTTTTCATTTAATGCATAAATTATAAAAGAATATTCTTTATTGATTGAATAACGTACGATGTATGTATTGCATATATTTTATGTATCACATGTAATATAATAAAATAAATAAAATATCAATAAACTTTAGACTACAAATTTTATTTATAATCTTACCTAATTCACACATGGATTTTTCAGTCCAAATGGGTATCTTCGATATTTTAGATAAAATCTTATTTGACATAGGATTAAACATTTTGATCAATTTAATGGACAACGAAGCCTGGGGGCTTGCATTAGGTTTGATTCAAACACTTAATATACACGATTTGCAATATAATGCCGAATATTTCTTGCTATCGGCTGAAATTTACTTGGCTAACAAAAAGACAGTAAAAGCATATGATTTACTTAAATGTAAGTTTATTTTACTTAGAGTATAAAAATATCAATAAATATTTTAAATATAAAATTCTTTAACAATAAACACATAATTTATTTCTAACAATTATAAAAAATCGACATGAAATAAATTTCAAATTATCTTTTTTTCTTTTATTGTTATTTATCATATTAATATATTATTTATTTGTATTAATTTTTCAGACAAAAATATTTTACGTACTAGTCGTGATAAGTGGTTTGTTAAAAGTACCGTTAATGATGAGCATGTACGGATCAAAATAATGTACATGTTATTGGATTCATTTTGTAATGAATTTGTTGAGTATGCTTTCTTTCTTTTTCAATTTTTATTTAAAGATCAAAGCAGTCAGTATTATCCAATAGGTAAAGTAAAATTTTACAGCATGTTTCTGTGATTATTATATTTATATCATAACTTAATTTTAATTGTATTGCATTCTTAATAACATGTATAAAACTTCTAAACTATATCGTACTCTTAATAATATTTAACAAAATTTATCTTTATCGTTTTTAGATTTATCTCGTTACGTGGACAAATTAATAATGTTATCTTTGTCAAAAAAAGATTCGAATTTGATCACAGAGATAGCCAACTTAGTACTTAAATATACTTTTGCATTAAGTACCACAACGTGTCGCGCACTAGTTTCAACATTAATTCATATGAACGAAAATCTAGCGCGACAGATGTATAATTATGCAGAAGAAATAGGTATCTATCCAGCAGTAAAGGTAAATACATAATCAACTTTATTTACAAATTAATACAGTAAAAAGAGAAATTAATCAATTTATGAAAAATAATTTTCTTATGCATTTAATATTTTTGTATATTCTTTTTTAACATTAGTAATTCTTAAAAAAATAATTAAAATATTCTGACTTGAAAATTTTTTAAAAATAAAAATTGCCAGAAGAGAAAGGCTACGAGTCATTCTACAATATATTCTTAATCTTTCTTTTAAAAAAAATTACAGATAATTTTAATATTAATGATATTATAAATATTTTATATTCAAATAATTACCTAGTATGTGTAATCGACATTGCGACCCTTTTATATTTATTTTTATTTTCAATTAATTTAATTACTATATTTTAAATTGAGGATGATCTGATGAAGGTTAAAATGTTTGTATATCTAATGTTTATATCGATTAGGTATTAAAGATAGATTAATCATTGGCACTTAACAAGTAGCTTTTACGTGTAGCCTTTCTATTCTGGCAATTTTTATTTTTAAGTAATTCTTAAATTAT